CGCTCAACAAGCATGTTTGTAGTCACTGTCCCGGATACGATGTTTCACCACGAAGTTACTAAATATGCCGCTGGCCCACAGATCAAAAAAGGATACTTTACCATGCCGGGATGATACGATATCCTTCTATACAAAATTTAAAATGGCACGTCTGTTGAATAATAATATTCTCAAATGTGAATAAATCCCGACCTCCTCCGCGCTCTGGCCACCGTACAAAACACTTCTACACCACTCACCGATTTTCAATTATTATAAATCAGTGAGCAGTGTAGAACAGTGTTGTATTGATTGATTGGATGTCTTTTTACAATAGCCGGGGTCCAATATTTATACCCGGAGCCTGAGTATGAATCCTATTCAAGTACGACTCATTACAATCTTTGGTATAAAAGAAAACATTCCTAACTTAAGATAACTTGGACCCTAATCTTTTTCTTTTTTAGAGTCCGACATGTATTTCTCGACGTCAACCATAACTCATTGTCGTTATCTGCTGACGTCGTTTAAAGAGAGCCGATTCCAGTGCCGTATCTGAATCAGCTGATATCGATCATTATGCAATCGATTCCTTGATTGACACAATATTGGGAGCTTCGAGTTCCCATGTTCTTTTTCCCAAATTTTGGTGTAAACACCTGGCGTTATTGTAATTTAACCTATTACCGGATGCGTGAAATTCTTAGGCACGCTATGGAATTATTTTCTCTGGTAAAGACTTGCCATTGGCCCATCAGTACTATAAATATGGTGCTTGCTTATTGCTTTCTCTTCGATTCATTTCCAGCCCCCTATTCTCCGTCATGGAACTTGAGCTTAGTCTAGGGGTTTCTCCGGCTCTAGCAAAGGGCACTGTCAAGCATATGCTGACATGTACACGTGCAGGCGATGGAGAAGGCCATGAGCTTGTGCTAGAACTAGGACTACGGACAGCCAAAGGAGACGAACTAAACAATCTGAAGACATCCATGCAACCAGAAGACATGCAGGAAGAAGATCTTTACAAAGGCTGCCCTCTACCAACTGCCTCTGCAGAAACAGGTACGAAAGAATTTTAAATGTCTGAATCGGCGAGGTTAGCTAGGTACCTCTATGATAGATTGTAGCTTACGCCGTGTTTAGTTGGAGGCCAAATTCCAAAAAGTTGCTACAGTACCTGTCACATCGAATGTTTGCGGCTCGTGCATGGAGCATTAAATGTAGACGAAAAGAAAAACTAATTGCACAGTTTGGTGGGAAATTACGAGACGAACGTTTTGAGCCTAATTAGTCCATGTTTGAACACTATTTGCCAAATAAAAACGAACGTGCTACAGTAGCCCCAAAATCCAAATTCATGGAACTAAACAAGGGCTTAAGCACATACGAGCACCCGCGGTGGTGGGTTGACCAACACAGGAGAGAGAGCGCCATGTGAGCAGCAAAGAGGAATCGGTTCCTTGAAAAAAAGCATCATGGGTCCGATATAATATAATAGAAAATTGCACATAGATTCTTTATGTAATCTTCTCTGCTTTCTTCCGGCGCACATAGGAGTCGGTCACATAGGTGAGAGAAATTTGTTTTTTTTTATTCACCACGAGTTGACTCCCAGCCTTGCATCGGTTCTTCTCTCTCCTCCATGAGTCGTTCTCTCCCGTGCTTGAGTCGGTTCATCTGCATGCCACGTCGGACGATGAGTCACTTTTACTTTCCCACTGGCGAAGCCCTAAGAGCCCAAGTTCTTGTTCTTCTTGGACGTACGGTGATCAGTCCTTGTCTCTACAGGGAGTGTGAACTCATACTTGCTGGTGGAAGTTCCTGTGCGCCAGGCAGCTAAAGACAACGGTGGGTTTGGTGGTAGAACCAAGAAAAAGCTGAGGCTGAGCAAGGAGCAGTATGGGTTCCTGGAGGACAGCTTCAAGGAGCACAGCACCCTGACGCCAGTAGGTGTTCTGATTACTATATGGCCCCCATACATGTCTGTCAAAAAAGAAATTACATGTCCTGTCGTGTTTTTGGAAAAGAGTCCTGATGTGTTAAGACTTAAGTGCATTTTTTTTGTTTAAAAAAATGAAAACAACTCAACTACCAAAAGAAATTCTGAGTATATACCGCTTATATCAGAAAGTCATTGTAGAATGTAAGCCAGCCTATCATTGACAAGGATTTTATTTATTTTTCTTCTTATTTGCAGACAAAATAAGTGAGAAGTTAGAATATGCATGTCTCATTGAATTAAATTAATTTTGTTTTGTTTTGGAATACTACAGAGACAGAATAGTGATTTAGCGAGCCAGCTCAACCTTGGACCACGGCAAGTGGCGATCTGGTTTCAAAACAGAAGAGCTCGGTAGTGCATGTCATAGACCCTTTTTCTCATTGATGATGCATATATATATATACATATATATATATATATATACATATATATATATATACATATATATATATATATATATATATATATATATATATATATATATCTCGACTTGTTTTATATATTATAGCGTGAAATCAATAATATGTCAGGACAAAGCTGCAGCAAACCAAGGAGGACTGCGACAACCTGAAACGTGGCTGCGCGGAGCTAACACAGGAGAACCGAAGGCTCCAAGGAGAGGTCGCGGAACTGCGTGCCTTGCTTACCAAGCCTGCAAGTTTTACAGCCACCAACCAGCTGCTCCGTTCCGTTCGGCACTGCCCTATCAGCTGCGGAGGCACCACCACCTGAGCAGAGGGGCCCGCCAGGACCGATTTCTCTTTGTACTCCTCGTAAGTGCTAGGGCAGCTCGATCTGCCGCTGCCCGATCGACGACGCTGCAGCAGCCGTGCCATGGCTGCCGGCCTGCTGGCGTCCCAAGGTGCGTGTGTGTATAACGTACGGTTAGGAAGATGCATGAGTCCACGCGCAGCCCCCGGCCCCTTCGTCTCCAGCGTGGCGCCGGCGGGCGGTACCGGCAAGATGGATGTACAGGCCCGGTACGTGGGCAAGACGTATGCGCAGCGTGGAAAGGCCCAGCCGGTGCACCGGCACATGTATGCGTGTTTATGCAATATACACTAGCTTGTATTGTATGTTAAATATGTAGATATCGAGCGCTTTATTGTTTCGTGAGCTAAAGGCTTGCTCCGGTTTCCTTAGAATCCTGGCTGCCCCAACTGCGCCCGAATGTGACCACTTCAACAGACGTGCCATTTTAAATTTTGTATAGAAGGATATCGTATCATCCCGGCATGGTAAAGTATCCTGTTTTTTATTTGTGGGCCAGCGGCATATTTAGTAATTTTGTGGTGAAACATCGTATCCGGGACAGTGACTACAAACATGCTTGTTGAGATAAGTAAGGCCCCGTTTAGATTTAAAATTTTTTTGGATTTTGGTTAGTATAATATTTTCGTTTGTATTTGATAATTAGTGTTTAATTATAGACTAATTAGGTTCAAAAGTTTCATCTCGTGATTTCTCACCCAACTGTGTAATTAGTTTTTTTCGTCTACATTTAGTACTTTATGCATGTGCTACAAGATTTGATGTGACGGGTAGTACGCAAAATTTTTTAAAATCTAAACGGGGCCTAACGTTAAGCGGTGGCACTGACCCGGCCGGCTTTAAAAATCATTTACCTAGCTAGGCTAGCCCTTAGCTAGCTGTACGTGTACGTCAAGCACTGGTACTTCTTGTTGTGCGTGAGTCATCCACTCCATCCTGGAGGTGTACTCGTTACTTTTGTTGTCGGATAAATTAATTAATTAGCGTGCAGGTTTGTCGCCAGATCTCATTAGATTCGAATGTACAAAATGAATCATTAACAACATGCCACGCGTTGAAACGTGAAATTTCCACATATTTGCAAAAATAACAAGGAAAGAAGCTTTTCCCGTCATGAAAACTGGAACAATCAACTTGTAATAATATCATGGGTCCAAAATAGATGATGTTCTAAAAATGGGTTCAAAACAGATGAAGTTCTAAAATGCACGTAACTGAACTTTTAAAACACTAAATAGTAACAAAACGATTTCTAGTGGGGCACCTGGTCTATATATAGCACTGGGGGTCAGAATTTGCTGCCGCTAGTGCACCGAAAACAGATTTTCAAAGGTGGGCGACACAACATTATTGTCACTAGAAACACCCCTGTTCCCAGTAGCGATCAGCATAAGCAACCACAGGTAAAAATGGGCATTTCCGTTGGGGCCCCTTAAGACTAGTGCCATTGGAAATACAGACATTTGCACTAGTGATTGCTTTCTAACGGCTGCTTGCCACACTCGGCTTCAAAACACAGAACCAGATGTATATTATATGTTTGTATGGATCAATTTCGACACATACATTGACGTCACAAATGAATAACAGATACAATGTTATTAAATAAATGGATATTATTCTTACAAATGGACACAAAGGTCTTAGGAGAAAGCATATGCAAAACTCAAATCTCGCAGCGGATCTCCATTCCCCACAGAAATATTCGCCCTGTTCGTTTGGGTTTGTTTGGCTGATAAGCCATGGCTGAAAGTACTGTTGGCTGATTTGGTGTGAGAGATAAATACTGTTCGTTGGCTAAAAAAGTACGGCTTTTAAGCCAAACAAGCCCAAGCGAACAGGCTTATAAGTCACATTCGGGCGCAGTTGGGGCAGCCAGGATTCTAAGGAAACCGGAGCAAGCCTTTAACTCACGAAACAATAAAGCGCTCGATATCTACATATTTAACATACAATACAAAGTGTATATTGCATAAACACGCATAGAGTACACGGTAACAAGGAGCTCTTAATACATGTGCCGGTGCACCGGCTGGGCCTTTCCACGCTGCGCATACGTCTTGCCTACGTACCGGGCCTGTACATCCATCTTGCCGGTACAAGACGAAGGGGCCGGGGGTTGCGCGTGGACTCATGCATCTTCCTAACCGTACGTTATACACACACGCACCTTGGGACGCCAGCAGGCCGGCAGCCATGGCACGGCTGCTGCAGCGTCGTCGATCGGGCAGCGGCAGATCGAGCTGCCCTAGCACTTACGAGGAGTACAAAGAGAAATCGGTCCTGGCAGGCCCCTCTGCTCAGGTGGTGGTGGCTCCCCAGCTGATAGGGCAGTGCCGAACGGAACGGAGCAGCTGGTTGTGGTGGCTGTAAAACTTGCAGGGTTGGTAAGCAAGGCACGCAGTTCCGCGACCTCTCCTTGGAGCCTTCGGTTCTCCTGTGTTAGCGCCGCGCAGCCACGTTTCAGGTTCTCGCAGTCCTCCTTGGTTTGCTGCTGCTTTGTCCTGAGATATTATTGATTTCACGCTATAATATATAAAACAAGTCGACGACATTGACACTATATATATATATACACACACACACACACATCAATGAGAAAAAGGGTCTATGACATGCACTACCGAGCTCTTCTGTTTTGAAACCAGATCTTCACTTGCCGTGGTCCAAGGTTGAGCCGGCTCGCTAAATCACTATTCTGTCTCTGTAGTATTCCCAAACAAAACAAAATTAATTTAATTCAATGAGACATGCATATTCTAACTTCTTACTTATTTTGTCTGCAAATAAGAAGAAAAATAAATAAAATCCTTGTCAATGATAGGCGGGCTTACATTCTACAATGACTTCTGATATAAAGCTGTATTATACTCAGAATTTCTTTTGGTAGTTGAGTTGTTTTCCACTTAAGTCTTAACACATCAGGACTCTTTTCCAAAAACACGACAGGACATGTAATTTCTTTTTTGACAGACATGTATGGGGGCCATATAGTAATCAGAACACCTACTGGCGTCAGGGTGCTGTGCTCCTTGAAGCTGTCCTCCAGGAACCCATACTGCTCCTTGCTCAGCCTCAGGTTTTTCTTGGTTCTACCACCAAACCCACCGTTGTCTTTAGCTGCCTGGCGCACAGGAACTTCCGCCTGCAAGTATGAGTTCACACTCCCTGTACAGACAAGGACTGATCACCGTACGTCCAAGAAGAACAAGAACTTGGGCTCTTAGGGCTTCGCCAGTGGGAAAGTAAAAGTGACTCATCGTCCGACGTGGCATGCAGATGAACCGACTCAAGCACGGGAGAGAACGACTCATGGAGGAGAGAGAAGAACCGATGCAAGGTTGGGAGTCAACTCGTGGTGAATAAAAAAAACAAATTTCTCTCACCTATCTGACCGACTCCTATGTGCGCCGGAAGAAAGCAGAGAAGATTACATAAAGAATCTATGTGCAATTTTCTATTATATTATGTGGGACCCATGATACTTTTTTTCAAGGAACCGATTCCTCTGTGCTGCTCACATGGCGCTCTCTCTCCTGTGTTGGTCAACCCACCACCGCGGTTGCTCGTATGTGCTTAACAACAATCTATCATAGAGGTACCTAGCTAACCTCGCCGATTCAGACATGTAAAATTCTTTCGTACCTGTTTCTGCAGTGGCAGTTGGTAGAGGGCAGCCTTTGTAAAGATCTTCTTCCTGCATGTCTTCTGGTTGCATGGATGTCTTCAGCAGATTGTTTAGTTCGTCTCCTTTGGCTGTCCGTAGTCCTAGTTCTAGCACAAGCTCATGGCCTTCTCCATCGCCTGCGCGTGTACATGTCAGCATATGCTTGACAGTGCCCTTTGCAAGAGCCGGAGAAACCCCTAGACTAAGGGGGTGTTCAGTTGTGAGATGAAAATTATTGATGTCACATCGGATGTATCGGAACGATGTTGGGAGGAGTTTTTGATACTAATAAAAAAAAACAAATTACAGAACCCATCAGAAAACTGCGAGACGAATCTAATGATACTAATTAATTGGTCATTAGCACATGTGGGGTTACTGTAGCACTTAAGGCTTTTCATGGACTAATTAGGCTTAAAAGATTCGTCTTGCGATTTTCAACCAAATTGTGCAATTAGTTTTTTTCGTTTATATTTAATGCTTCATGCATATGCCACAAGATTCGATGTGGCATTTTGGATTGAAAAGTTTTGGGAACTCAACGGGGCGTAAGCTCAAGTTCCATGACGGAGAATAGGGGGCTGGAAATGAATCGAAGAGAGCGCAATAAGCAAGCACCATATTTATAGTACTGATGGGCCAATGGCAAGTCTTTACCAAAGAAAAGCCCCCGTTCACTTTGTTTCGTCACTTTTTCCGAGTGAAGTGCCCACCAGACGACCTAGCACCTTTAGCGGTCGGCAGCGCAGGGATTCAACTGCGGAGTAAGCGATGTTTGGTTTCTCCTCTAAATTTTTTAAACTTAAGCAACTGTCTCATGATTTATATATGAATTATTAAATATAGATTAATTATAAAACTAATTACACAGCTTGTGACTAATTTGCGAGAAGAATCTTTTAAACCTAATTAGTTCATGATTTAACAATGTAGTGTTACAGTAACATGTGCTAATAACGGATTAATTAGGCTTAATAAATTTGTATCGTGGATTACTGATGGATTTTGTAATTTGTTTTTTTATCAGTATCTGAACACCCTATGCGACACCCTCACGTAACACCTCCTAAATTTTAGTCACTGAATCCAAACACCCCTAAGTTCCCAGACCACCCTTACAAATTGATATGTAGAGACGGCTGGTGTTATCAGCCGCCCCTACAAATCGATTTGTCGGGACGACTGATAACACCAGTCGCCCCTACAAAATCGATCGAGAGAATTCCTTATTTGACACTGGGAAATGAGCCATTCCTTTCTTGGCTCTGAAATTTTCTTCGTTCCTTATTTGACACTCACTTGAACTTTCATCCCTAATATGACACCGCAGTCAAATCCATCAGCTAACGGTGTTAAGTGGCTGTTAAAAAGACATTTTTGCCCCTGGTGCTGGCGCATGCATGCAGCGGGCGCTGGGCGTATGCATGCAGCGCATGCAGAGACGCGGACACATGCATGCAGCGTATCTGGCCGCTGGCTACTCTTTTTTTTTTGTCAACATGTTTTTGACCCAGGGGCAAAAAGGTCTTTTTAACAGCCACTAAACACCTTTGACTGCGGTGTTATATTAGGGATCAAAGTTCAAGTGAGTGTCAAATAAGGAACCAAGAAAATTTCAGAGCCAAAAAAGGAACGGCTCATTTTCCCGATGTCAAATAAGAAATTCTCTCAAATCGATTTGTAGGAGCAGCTATAGTACTAACCGCCCCTATAATACCTGTTTGTAGGGACGATTCAGTTTAGAACCGTCCCTACAGTTCATTTTTCCAGAAAAAAAATTCAAATTCGACCAGAATATATATATATATATATATATATATATATATATTAAATCTGACCACAAGCACGAGAGCATTATATAAACTACCATTACAAGTCTAATTCATAGGAATATATACAATCCATCATTAAATACACATAATTCACAAGTCTAATTCATTCCACAAGTCCAAACCATCTGACAAGTAGCCTTTTAGTCTCACGAAGGTGTTGGTTAAGTATGGCTGCTGTGGAAAAAAGAATAGCATGATGTCCATAATGTGTTGTGTACAACTTCTGTTTCCATACACACCTCAATTCCTTCAACAGTCTCCTTATACCCAGCTTGTGCATACTCTTTGGTTAATGTCTCTTCAGGACAGTTTGGTGTTTGTGGATAGAAGTCAGGTGGCCCAAGCCTACAGAAGAGACATAATGTAAAAGGTATGCCATAGGATCAAATGAAACCATGTCATAGGACAATCAATAGTTCTAAGTTGTAAATAAAAGAACAACATATGAAATTGTTGTTTTATAAGCAGAAATCATGTCAAAGCTGAAAGGGAGGGCCAAAAATAAGGAAGGGAATCATAACCAGTCTGAGATAATAAGCATGTAAACAAAAGAACAGTCGTAAGTGAAGTGGCTTTGGTCCATAAGTTAGACATATACTTGTTATTAAGTGGCTCTTTGTCACACTTTAGCTTGTATGGAGCTAGCTGTTGCTGCCGCCTGAAAGATAGGGGAGTTAGGGAGAAAAAGAAATCAGAAGTGGGAAAAAATGCACAAGCAAAATGTAAACAAGAAATAGAGTACTGGAAGTGAGGTCGCTACTACTTCCTACTGCCCCACAGCACCTTCATTCCAAACAAGCAAGTGAATGTGGCAAAATTATATCTACACTTCAAGTGATACATATGTTCTAGTTATTATTATACAATAGACATGGGAAGTTTACAAAACTTGTATATTAAAGCCCAACTACTGGCGACAGTTCATCCGCACCAATGAGAACATGTTACTTCAAATCTCTGCATCTGCATGTGTGTTGCGATGGCTGACTTCCAGTCAAGCTCGCTGCAGTCAATTTCTTTTGACTGTACAACAGACATGGAAGGGTTGCTCCATTCTTAGACCAAAAAATTGAAGCATAACATAGTTCAATAGAAATAACAACGATGAGCACTTGGTTATTTGGTAGACTGCAACATGCTATTCAAACTTTTGAAAGCATGAATCTCTAGGCAATGCATTCGTGTAGGTGGTTGAATCATTTGATGATGAGAAGAAATAAGTGGAAAGGTTCAACACGAAAGTTATTCAAAGGACGAAGCAAGTAGAGAATAATGCGATTACAAGCTATATATGTTCACTCATACAATGGATTTTCCACTTTGTTAAAATACAACAGTCTGTGACAAGCTACTTTATCGAGGGCGGTACGTGATGGATAGCAGTTTGTATGAGGATTAAACACAAATCCTGCTGACAATATAGCCTTGAAAAAGTGTAAGTACAGCATGCATGCAGTTTGTTCGTGGGGGTTGGAGCGCACGAACAAGAACATCTGGCATTACAGTGAGGTGCCTTTATTACAGCCAAATCCGAAGCGGTGACACCGCATCGTACCACAGTGCCTACTCAGCAACTACACCAATCAAATAACAGGTGGCTGTTGTTGTAAACAAACGCCTAACCATGCGGCCAACACCCTGGACAGGGAAACAGGGGTAGAGTGTCACCTGGAGCTGACGGGGTAACCAGAGGAGGAGGACGAAAACGGCTAGGCTTCCGACCTCGCGCCGTCCTGCCGCCCCCCCCAAGCAAGTCACTGGCGGCGCCCGGCATGATCACGGATCAGGCGCTCTGCTGACACGGGGGGGAAAGCCTCCTTTTTTGTCGTCGGCCGTGGAAAAGCGAAAGCAAGAGGAGGTCAGGCGGTGGCGTGGTGCTCCGCCCGCGGGCGGGCGGGCGGGAAGAAGTCGGAGGCGAGGTCGATCACTGCGCAGGCAGCAGGGTTGAGGAGTCAGGTCAGCGGGGAACAGTAAAGTTTTTTTTGGAATAAAACAAATTGCAGAGTGGCTAAGGAGATGCAGATCATGGGCGGCGAAACCCTAAGGCGCGGATCGGGAGTCGATTGGAGGAGGAGGAAGCGGAGAGGTGAGAGGAGATCAAGGCGGCGGATCCCGAATCCGCGAGAGTAGGGTTTAGGGGAGAGGAGTCTCACCTTGTGCGAAAAATCAGGTGGAGAAAATGGCCATGAGGCCGACCCATGGGAGCGGAGCGGAGCACACGGGTGGACAGGCAGGTAGGCTAGGGTTTGGTGGTGGAGGGGGGGGAGGAGGAGGTGGAGGAGGCGAAGGCGGGGCGGAGAGTGACGAGTGGATGGGTGGATGGATCGGTGGAGCTGCTGCTCGCTGCCCTGCCTGCTGGGTTGCTGCGCTAGGGTGGTGGGTTGGTAAAAAGGGAAATGGTGGTGTTGCTCTCTGCTCTGCTGCTGCGTTGCGTTCGGGTGTCGGGGACTCGGGAGGAAGAAAGGAAAAGGAAACCATACGATGCGATACGACACGAGCGGCCACTGTTAACAGCCGCTCCTGCAAATCTACGTATTCGCAGAGGCAGCTCGTATTATTAGTCGTCTCTAATGTGCTATTTATAGGGCAGCTGCTGTGCTGAAGCCCGAACACATCACTGTAGGGGCTACTCCAATACTAGCCATCCCTAAAAAAATAAGTCTCGTTACTACAAACTGTTTTTCACGTAGTGACAGAAGTTTAAATATTCCTGAGTCATCATTTGCTGGTTGAGTCCCTTCAAGTGCTCATTGTATTTAGGGATAAAAAATTAATAAAGCATAGGATTTTATTTTAGTTGTAATATTTAGAAAAGGGTAGGACAAAAAAAACGAAGAGGCTATAGGTAGTATTTAGAAAAGAAAAGGCATAGGACAACACAAGATTATCATGTCAGCCACTTTTTTTTTTGCAAGCGCATCACTGTAATAAATAGATACGTATCACACACTGATATCATATACCTAGGAGCAACCATAGTAACCAGAACCATTCATTTGATCTAATCTTTCAGTATAATATAAGGCATAGAAGCACATTACGGCAAACATATAACCATATATGATTATTTAACCTTAGGATTTATCAATCAACAAGGGTTTAGCAACCAGCTATCTTGTTCTAATTCACAAAGACTTACCAGTATTTACTGACAAACTTAGTTAAAAACAGGTACAGAGGTGTAAGAGCTTACCAATCTGATAG